TATAAAATCTGCAGTACATATATACATACAAGGAATTAATATATTTGATTTAGTTAACAGATAAACAAGGGGAAAAACAGTGCGACAAGTAATGTAGCCTAGGCTATATACGCTGAGTTTCAGTTCATTTTTGTGACACACTAAATTTGTTCACAGAAAGGAAACTCAAATGGCAGAAAGCGACATCCTATCTGTTTTCTTTATTTTACAAAAGCACAATGTTTTGTTTTCATTGTGAGTGTAAACAAATAAAAGCAGACCTTTATACAGTGATGCATTAGAGCCACAGAAAGACAAACGTTTAGCTGAAAATGCACAATACACAATTCATTATGTACATTAACAACGATTCGGGACAAATATAATGTAATTTAATGGAAAACTACGTGAATGGCGCTCTGTGGCGCGGCAGGATTTTCTGTCGGCTGCATTTAAATCCGCGTCTGAAGTTTCCCGCTCTGTTCAGCGTGCAGCATCACGTGTCTAAACAAATAGCACATGCTGTCAGTGATTTCAACCACTAGAGGCCGCTCTCGCACTGTGTAATGACAGCAGACCCTTCTCAGCCGCTCCAGCAACGGACGCAACCCGGGAAACTATCGGCATGGATTTTTGCCGATAACCGATAGTTCCAGCAATCAACTATCGGTGCCGATTAATCGGCAAAACCGATACATCGGTTGACCTCTAATATACACATATATACACATATATCAGTGGCGTTCTGTCCATATAAGCTGCGAATGCTCCGCATACCCAGGCCATTTTAGAGAATAAGTTCACGGGATAATTCATTTAAACATGATTATAAGTTGATCCCTTGTCATTTGAAATGTACCTTAAAGCTTAAAGAGTTAGGAATGAGTACGTACAATGATTTATTTGCCAAAGGCAGTCATTTTCTTTAAATCTTCCAGTTGCTTCCGGGCGAGCGGATTCTCCGCAGCTTTCTCGCCTCCGCTCTGTTGCTATGACTCGTCAGGATTATAGTGCGTTCTCAGTGATTTGCTGGTCTGCGGTTGATTTAATGCGCGAGGTAAGCTGTTTGCAAAGCGCTCGCTCAAGCGGAAAAATGTGCTGTTCCTGTCAGATCTCGATTGCCGAGAATCACATTGTGTTTGATGCAAAACCAACTCGACTAAATCAAAAGAAAAAAAACACTAAATGTATATTTTTATTTTCTCAAGCAAAGCAAATTTTAAAAGTCCACTGAACCTATTACATTTTTGGTCATAGACAACGTATGTTGAAGATATACGTTATTGTCAACGTTATTGCCTAAGCGGTAAATTAAATTTTTTTGTATAAAATGTGGGCTATACAAAATTTTAATAATAACAAACATATTGTTCCATTTGTTTTGCGTATGCTCGTGTCGCTTACAGTTAAAGTTGTTCCCTTTGTTTTGCATATGCTCGTGTCGCTTACAGTTGAAGTCCTTCTCTGATTTTATTATTGTTTGCTAGGTTGCAACGTTACTTTGCAATATTTGAAATATTTTTGGGTATTTTGCATGGTCTGTTATTGGAGTAATGTCACGGGGGGGGGAGTTTTAACTGTTTTCACTGGGAATAAAAAAAACTAATTTAGCAGATGCAGAGAGACGTATAGACCGGGGGAATCTCCCCACCCTCTGATTATGTATTATAACGTAACTACGTGTAAACGTGGCGGTTTTTACTTGGAAAACCAGCTATATTTTTCTAGCATTCGAATAACAATGGCTAAACCTGAAACGACAGATGAAGGATTGGAGATGAATTTCATTTTCCTAAAAAGGGAAGGGGGGGGGGGGTCTTATCACTCAGCATACCCGGTTAAAAAAGTCACCGATCGCCACTGACATATATACACATATAACAGACATGTGCCGGTATTCGGTAATGCGATATATCATGGTAATGAACATGCACTATATTGTTATCGTGGCCACTTCAAAGTGTGCTCTCTGATGTAAACAAGCACGGATGAGAAGCACATGGCGGAGCGAGTGAGAGATGCTCTGAATGAAAGCACTCTCACTCTCTGACAGCAGGTGGCGCTGAACAGCAGAAATGCAGCCGTTACCCCGGAAACAAAACAGCTGCGCTACTTTCTGTTTCTGAAACGTGTTTAAATGCTTTAAATAGCCATTCAGATTTGTGTATTCATCTCTATGTTGTTCATACTTAAATATTTAGACTTAATAGGCTATTTATTTTAAAACTTTTTTACATTTTAATCTGGACTACAATATGGCCTAGATCAGGGGTGTCAAACTCAGTTCCTGGAGGGCCGCAGCCCTGCAGAGTTTATTTCCAACACTGCTCCAACACACAAACATGTAGTTTTCAAATAAGCCTGAAGGACTTGATGAGCTGGACCAGGTGCGTTTAATTATAGTTGAATCTAAGGCCCTCCAGGAACTGAATTTGACCCCCCTGCCCCAGATATTGTTTGAAAATGTTATGATTCTTTATTGTTCAATCACACTTTAAGTTAAGGCTCCATTAGTTAATTCATTAGTTAACATAAACTGCCAATGAAAAATTCTTCTAAAACATTCATTCATCTTAGGTAATTTCAATATTTATGTGTGTTTATAATATTAATAACACGTTGTTAAAATCCAAAGTTGTAACTGTGTTATTTAATGAACCCGAATTAACAAAGATTAATAACTTCTGTAGCAAATGTAGGTATTGTGAATGTTAATGCATTAACTAAGGTTAACTAATGAGATCTTATTGTAAAGTGATATCTATCGGTCTTTATAATTCTTTTGCACTTAAATTTTTGACTTAATACATTTTTTGGTATATTGCTTTATTGTATTTAAATGTTCAGTTATTTTTGTTAGAAGGAAAAAAAGTTATTAAACCTGTTATACTGTATTATGACAACACTTGAAACTTACCTGCTTGAACTTGATCGGGGTGTTTTGTTAGTTTGATGCGTTTCCTCCTCTTGAGGTCGCCACTGCTTTTATGAAGAGGTTGCCAGGTTCAAACAAAACCCGCCCAATCGCGTTTCGAGGGGTCCCCGTTAAAAAATTCGCATTCCAGGGGCTAAATATCACGTTAATGGGGTCGTTTTTCAACCCGCGGACATGAAAAACAACCCG